CTCCCCCTCCCTCCCTCCCTCTCTCCCTCCCCTTATCGTCATTGTCGTCGTCGCCGTCGTCGTCGTTGTCGTCCTTGGCCGCTGCCCTTGGGGCCTGCCTGCCGCCTGGAGCCTGGCACTCCGATCCTCCAGCCAGCCAGGCCGATAATTTGTGCGACTGCCTCGCCGCCTGCCGAGGGCCAGCCTGTCGGCCCTTCAGCCCCCACCATCCTCCCTCTCCTCCCTTCTTTCCTTCCCCCCCTCCTTCCCTCCTTCCCTCCCTTCCTCCTCCTCTCCTCCCTCCTCCTCCTCCTCCTCCTCCTCCTCCTCGTCGTCCTCTCTCCTCCTCCCTCCTCCTCCTCCTCCTCCTCCTCCTCTCCTCATCCTCATCCTCCTCCTCCTTCCTTTCCTCCCTCCTCCTCCTCCTCCTCCTCCTCCTCCTCCTCCTCCTCCTCCTCCTCCTCCTCCTCCTCCTCCTCCTCCTCCTCCTCCCCCCCCTCCTCTTCCCCCCTCTCGTCGCGGTCGTCGTCGTCGCGGTGAGCCCGCTGTCTGTCCATGTTGGGGTCGGGTTGCCGCGGGTCGTTGTGCGCGTCGCCAGCGCGTTCGCTCCACTGGCCCAGGTTTTCTGCAAGCTTCGCATGAAGGCCTCCCTCGACGAGGCCCCCGGGGCATTCCCGCAGGTTGTCGGAACCGCTGGAACTGCTCGGCGGTTCTCGGGGCCATTCCGAGGCCCCCGAGAGGTCACGGGAGCCTTTCGGGCGCTTTCCAATCCCCCCGCGCTTCGTTTTCGCGCCAGTCTCCGCTCGCGTCCATCTGCCACCACTTTTCATTGTTTTTGTTGTCCTAGTCTTTTCTCTTCTTTCCCTTTTTATCTTCATTGTTATTTCGTTCGCACTCCATTGTGCTATACTTCAGTTCTTCGCATTCCGCCCACTCCTCCCCAGGCCACCCCATCCCGCCCCAACAATCTCCACCCTGTCCCGTTCGCATTCCGCATGTGCCCCAAATTGTTCCCAGACCCTCCTTCAGATTCCTCCGTGCGCCCCCCGCTCCTCCGCACTCCTGCCGGTTCCTTTTCTCCACTTTTTGCCGCTCCTCCCCCCGAGACCCTACTCTTGTCCAAGCCGCCCAATACATTCCACATCCCCGCACTCTTTTCGGCGCGGCTGCAGTTCCCATTACTTCTCCGCCCCACTTTCCCAACGCCCCGCTTCTTCTCAGGGCTCCACGGCATTCGTTTCTGACACTACTTCGCAGTAGTGCGCCCCCCCGTAGGGGTATCCACGACGTGTTTTTTCGAGAGGGTGGTGCGCGGCGCTGTTTATGGCGCGACCCATGGCGAATTGTTGTTTGAACTTGCGTTGGAGAGTGGCTGGCGCAAGCCATGGCGCAAGCTGAATTGCCATGCGCAGCGCAAATCCTCGCCCCCTCTCCTTCTTGCCCCCCCCCCCTCCCTTCCTCCCCCCCGTTATCTGTTGCTCTTCGTTTTCAATGGTTTTCGCCAACCACGCGCGGCAGGGAATGAATGTACCCCAAAAAGAGGATGCGACCGAAGACGAAGAGGGCGGGCATCGAGGGTTTGGGATATGCATATTGACTGACACGCGCGCAAATAAGAGCGAACGCTCTTAAACTTATGATTGTCGTTGTTCGTTCTTGTTGTCGTCGCTCCCCCGCGACCCGCCCCGCGACCCGCCCCGCGACCCACCCCGCGACCCACCCCGCGACCCACCCCGCGAGCCAACCCGCGACCCACCCGCGACCTGCCCCGCGACCCACCCGCGATCCAACCCGCGACCCACCCGCGACCTACCCCGCGACCCACCCGCGACCCACCCGCGACCCACCCGCGACCCACCCGCAACACCCGGCGACCCACCCGCGACCTACTCCGCGACCCACCCGCGACCCACCCGCGACCCATCCGCGACCCACTTGCGACCATCCGCGGCGCACCCCGAGACCCATCCGCGACCCACCCGCGACCGATCCACATTGGTTTGGAGGAAAATTTCGGCGCGTGCGGCGGGCTTGTTGCAAACTTTGTGCAATTTTTGCGCCTGCGGCGGGCTTCTCCATGCCGACGTCCCCGCCGCCCCTTCACTCTCATTCGCATCTACGGGGCGCCACGTATTTCGGACATCCACGCAACGTTCTTGGACCGGCGTTGGGCCCCCCTCCCTGGCCAGGGCGCCGATCCAAGAAACCCGCGCGAGCTTCCGCAACCCGCAGTTGCGGATACAGTCGGACCGAGGTAGAAAATCGAGGTCGATTCGGTCGGGGTTTCCTATTCTGGATGGGTTTTTTGTATCAAGAGATGGGCGACGAACCTTCCGACGGAGCTTGCCCATCCCCTCCCTCCTCCACCTCCGCGACCATTGCCCTCCGCCACCATTGCCCTCCGCCACCATTGCGCAATATGAGTACTACACTCCTCTCTCCCCTGATGCTGTCCGGAATATATTGTGCCCCCTTTTTCCGTGTACCTTTGTTACATCGGATTCCCTTGAACTGGGTTTTCGTTTGGGTATTTTTTTACACATGCTTCCCGCTGAGGCGCTGGTTTCATTTTCGGGTTTCCGCTTGTTCCGAAACGTGCTCCCGCTGCAGTGCTAGCCTCATTTCCACGCTTCCGCTCGTTCCGAATCGTGCTCCCGCTGCAGCGTTGGCCTCATTTCCGCGCTTCCGGTCGTTCCAAATCTCGCCCCCGCTGCAGCGTTGGCGTCATCATTTCCATTGCCATGCCACGGCATGGCTTTCGGTTCTTCTAACTAGTTTCAAACATCAGAAAATTGCCCACCCCAAAAAGCCATCGGAAATGATTACACCGTCGGTGTCGGTTCGTTGTTTTTCTGCCCCACAGAAGCCTCCCCACTTTGGGGCGTTGTCACGCTATGTTTTTATTTGCGACGTTTTGATTTTTAACACCATGGTATGTCATGTAATGCTATGCCATGCTACGACATCCGACTGTGCGAGTACAGTGGAAATCTACGCCATTGTAAAGGATGGGAGGGAGGGGTCGGACGCCAGATATGACACGAACGCACCTAGCTTGTCCTCCTCCCCTTCCTCCTCCAACCCCCCTTTCCACCCGTGCCGACCGCGCGTTCCCAACCCCCCCAGCGAATCACCCCCCCCAGCGGATCCAAGGCGGGGGCGCCTACTGCCCCAATCATACCCTAGTGTTCTTCGTGTTTGTTGGACGGTCATGTGCATGCTGGGGAGGGGGTCCGTGGATGCTTTGTGTAGTTTGAATGACGGAGGGTCTCATGTTCTTGAGGATGATTTCCTGGCCTGGGTCTGAGTGTAAGAGTGAAGAGGCCCGGGTTGGTCGTGGCGCGGGTGGGACGCGAACCATCCGCGCCGCGACCCACCCCCGCCGCGACCCACCCCCGCCGCGACCCACCCGCGACTCATCCGAGCCCTGTGCGACCCACCCGCGCCGCTGCCGACGACGACGACAAAAACAGAAGCAACCACGACAAATACCGTTATCATGCTACCAGAACTACAAGATGTTTCTATGCGCAACATTGGTCATGATAGCCCCCCCCCTTCGGGGTCAACATTTCACGCATCGGGGGTCTGAGATTCCCTTACCTGGCTCTGGCCCGAAAATGATTTGTCAGCAGCTCTTACAAGGCACTGTACCATCATTCTCAGTTCAGACATTTGGGGCCTCCGTTGGGCCGTCTTGGCGGCCTCTTGGTCCGTCTTAGGGCTGTCGTGGGCCGTGCGAGGGCCGCTTGTGGTCCCTTTCGAATTTTCTTGGCGCCTCTTGGGCACCCCTTGTGCCCTTGTGCCGCATCTACTGCTCGGAAGCCCTCCCGAGGCCATGCCGAAACGACGGCTCCGTTCCTGATCAAACATATCGCACGGGGGCGCCATTGTCCTGTAGGGGGTCGGGGTTGCGGTGCCAAGGCGCGCGCACCCATCTGGAGAAACAGCGAAGGAGTATCGAGCGGGAGCGCGGATCTTGTTGGGGCGCTTTCGGCGGCGAGCAAGAGCGCCATCCTTGAGTACTAGGCGAGGAGACATCGAGCGGGAGCGTCGCTGTTGTAGGGGGGCGGTTAGCGGACCCGAGGCGGGAACGTTGCTGTTGAGCATCTGCAAGGAAGTATCGGGAGCGCTGGTTCTGTTGGAGGGTTTTTTTTCGGCGGCGGGCAAGGGCATCGGCCTTGAGTCAAAGGCGAGGATAATCGAGCGGGAGCGTCGGTGCTGTAGGGATGGAGTTGGTTTATGGACCCCAAGCGCGAACGCCATTGCTTGCGTAAAAGCGAGAACGTTTTGAGCGGAACCGTTGGTTCTGTGGGAGGGCTTGGTTTCGGCGGCGATCATGGGCACCGGCCCTAAGTGAAAAGCAAGGAAGGTATCGAGCGGGAGCGTTGTTTTTGCTGGGGCGCTGGTTTGGGCGCGCCCCCCTGAACGGTCGAGCGTGAGCGCCCGCGCCGAGGCGAGAGCGCAAGGCCGGATATAGGAGGTTCGACCACAAGGGTTGTTTAGTAACCAAGATTCCATCCGCACCGCGAAACTCCACTTTTGCCGCGCACCCAGGGACTCGGTCAATCCGTTCGGCCTCCTCCGCCCTGATGTCGATGTGCGGCGGCGCGCCCAGAGGTGGAGTGAGAAGGGGCGGGCCGTCTTAGAAGGCTTGGAAGGCCCATGGCCTTCTGAGAAGATCCTGATAAGCCTACACCGGATTTTTCTCAGAATCCCCGCCCTGTGAGAAGGCCTTCTCCTTCTCACTTCCCCCCCTCGCTCGCCGCCGCGATCCAGCGTCGACGTCGGCGGCAACGTCGACGTCGTTGTCTTCTGGGGAGGCTTAGACACTTCTCATCAGAAGGCCATGGGACTTCCGAGCCTTTGGAGAAGGCCCGCGCCTTCTCACTTCCCTGCCGGCCTCGCCGCCGAGCATCGTTGATGCATCAGCGATGTCTCGTCGATGCGGTGCAATCCTCCGACATCATCTGGGTGGCCTCCTTTCACTCCGATGTTTATGGAGCCTGCTCTGCGCTTAGGTCCGTCACCTTCAGCTGGAGGGGGCCCGTCTACACGGGGGGCGCCAGCATTGAGGGGTACGACTTCTGCTGGCTGCGCGTGCCCGCGCGGAGCTCCGGCGGCTCCGGGGCCATGCCCCGGAGCGTGGAGGAGATCGTGGGCGACCCCGAGGCGAGGGAGGAGGAGGAGGAGGAGGAGGAGGAGGAGAGTACAAGGAGCGAGAGGAGGAGGAGGCCGAGAAGGAGGAGAAGGCCGAGAAGGAGGAGGAGGAGGAGGAGGGCTCCCTCTACCGCATAACAGTGACAGCTCGTGGGCGATCCCGAGGCTCGGGGGGCGCCTCCAGCGCCGCTTCTGGCGCGCTCCTCCCGTCAGGTACTCCAGATTTCGTAATAAAAGGGAGGGGGTCTGGACCCTCCAAGACGAGCCATTTCAGACCCCCCCCCCGTGGGAGAACCCTCCAAAACATCGTCCCCAGACCCCCCCAGGCCCTCCAAGATAGATTGGAAAAGACCCCCCCCCGAAATGAGACCCCCCTCCCTTTATTACGAAATCTGGAGTAGGGGCCCAGGTGCAGACCCCAAGGAATCTGCGCGGCTCTCCGAAAGTTTACGTTCACGTAATTATCTCATGGGTCCTCCACAGTGGGAACCCATGCCAAGAAGCACCCCTGCTGCCTCCAGGGTGCCGGGGGGTTCTTGAGTTTCGATGGTGTTTGCGATGGAAGGCGTGACGTTCCCATACCAAAAGTCAATGGACGATCTGGGGTCTCAGGGTTGGGTCTCTGAAAGGTTCCTTTGGTCGAGCTCCCACTGCAGGGGTCTCCGACTCGACTCGATTCGATGTCCATCGACTCCGATTCCGATTCGATCCGGCCTCGGATGCCGCTTTTTTTTTTTTTTTTTTTTTTTATTTTTTTTTTTTTTTTTTTTTTTTTTTTTTTTTTTTTTTTTTTTTTTTTTTTTTTTTTTTTTTTTTTTTTTTTTTTGGTTTTTTTTTTTTTTTTTTTTTTTTGGATCTCGGTTTCTCCAAATGTCAGGCGATCACCAAACAGGGATCAAGGGGTCGTGGATAGCGTACGGGTCCCGACTCCTCCATGGGGAAATCGCGGGCTTTTCGCGACGAGCGAGAGGCGCTACCGGCCGCATTTTGGGGAGGGCCCCCCCCCCCGATCGATGGAAGTTGGCGGACCGCGCGCGAAAACCCAATGGATCGTGGTGGATCCATGTCTTGCGGCCCCCGAGGCGCTGCCACTTTGCAGAGGGACGAGCAGGGGCCCCGCGAGACGGCCTCCCCTCGCGAGGCCCGCGCGCAGGGCGCTCCCCGGCCGGCGCGGGGCCTTCCCTGCCCCGGCCCAGGAGCCCGCAGCCAAGGAGCCCCTTCCTTTCTTTCTATTCCTCCTCCTTCCTCCTACTCCTCCTCATCCTCCTCCTCCTCCTCCTCCTCCTCCTACCTCCTCCCCCCTTCCCTCCTCCTCCTCCTCCTCCTCATCCTCCTCCCCTCTCCTCTCCTTCCTCCGCTCCCTCCCTCTCCTCCTCTCCTCCCCCTCCTCCCTCCTCCTCCTCCTCCTCCTCCTCCTCCTCCTCCTTCCTCTCATCCTCCTCTCCTCCCCTCCTCCTCCTCCTCCTCCTCCCCTGGCCCGGGCGCGCCCCCGAGGGTGGAGGCCTCGCTCGCCTGCCGGCTCCCGCCGCTGCGGCGCCTCCCCCGACTCGGCCGGCGATCCCCACCGGTCGTCGATCCGACTCGGCCGCCGAGTCATCTCGATCGCCAGTCCGACTCATCGGCTCGTCTCGCTGGGCTTCAGCTGCGGCATGTCCCTTCTTACAGGAGGAGAGCATTCAAGAACGGCAAAGGAGAGCAGTCTGGGGACGACTCTTCGTGCTTTTTCTGCATACGTGTTTTACCGTGTCTGATTTTTTTCCCGGAAAGGGCATAGGCCCAGGGTTCTCTTTTAGTAGGTAAACCTGTCCCCCGGTGCCAACTTGAGGGAGGCCGGCGAATTTTTTCCCTGATAAATAACGAGGTCGAAGGAGGCCGGCGAATTAAATTTTGAGGATGTCTCGAGCGAAACGCTTGTTTTTGAATTTTGAAATCCCGACGATAATTCAGACGGTTTGCGCGGCCACTTTTTCGTGTGTTGAGGATGTCTCGAGCGAAAAACGCTTGCTCCGCAGAGTTTGCCGAGGATGTCTCGAGCGAAACGCTTGTTTTGCAGAGCCGACCGCGACGCGGAAAAGCGCCCCGCGCGAAGGAATTTCGATGATGTCTCGACTAATTCCTTTGTTTTTGTACGATTTCCTGGAATTTGGGCAGGAGTCTCGAGCGAAATGCACGACCCCACCCTAGCACGACCATACCCCAGCACGACCACACCCCAGCACGACCAGACCCCAGCACGACCCCACCCCAACACGACCCCACCCCAGCACGACCATACCCCAGCACGACCATACAACCCAGGGCCACGACCACCACCCCGCACGACCACGCCCAGCACGACCACGCCCCAGCACGACCACACCCCAGCACGAACACACCCCAGCACGACCACACCCCAGCACGACCTCACCACAGCACGACCACATTCCAGCACGACCACGCCCCAGCACGACCACGCCCCAGCACGACCACCCCCCAGCACGACCACACCCCAGCACGACCACACCCCAGCACGACCACACCCCAGCACGACCACACCCTAGCAAGACCACACCCCAGCACGACCACACCCCAGCACGACCTCACCCCAGCACGACCACACCCCAGCACGACCACGCCCCAGCACGACCACGCCCCAGCACGACCACGCCCCAGCACAACCACCCCCCAGCACGACCACCCCCCCAGCACGACCACACCCCAGCACGACCCCCCAGCACGACCACACCCCAGCACGACCACGCCCCAGCACGACCACGCCCCAGCACAACCACCCCCCAGCACGACCACCCCCCCAGCACGACCACGCCCCAGCACGACCACCCCCCAGCACGACCACACCCCAGCACGACCACTCCCCAGCACGACCACACCGCCTTGGTTGAGTGGTTGCCTGTCGTCGTGGAATGTTTCGTGGGGTGTCTCGTGGAATGTTTCGCGGGGTGTCTCCTGGAATGTTTCGTGAGGTGTCTCGCGGAATGTTTCGTGAGGTGTCTCGTGGGATGTTTCGTGAGGTGTCTCGTGGGATGTTTCGTGAGGTGTTGCCCCGTTGGGTATTGTGAAAACGTGCCCATGCTCCACATGTCTATATCCCTTTCCGGGTTCGTGGGTCCATCATTTTTGCTGTACTTGTTTTCCCGTCGAAGCCCGCCTGTAGGAGGACCTGCCCAACCTAACTCTGAGCTGTCCTGCCGAGGACGAGCGGTGCTACGTAGGACGAAGACAAAGCCGTTCCAGAGCGTCCCGGAACGCTCTCAGAGCGTTCCGAGACGCTCTGATGAGAAGGCCGCGGCGCCGGTACAGGCTCTAGAGCAGCCAGATCTCTGAGATTTTCTATTTATCTTCCCGAATTTATCCTCGTCCTCGCTTCGTCTTACTGGCGGCGCCTCCAGCGCCGCCCCTGGCGCGCTCCGCGCGACAGGGAGGGGGTTCAGCGCCGATCCACGAATTCCAGAACGCCGAGACTGGCTCCAGAGCCGCCTGCTCTCAGAGATTCTCCGTTCTATCCCCACCCGATTGTGTCCTCCTCCTCTTCCTCCTCCTCCTCGTCATCCTCATCCTCATCCTCCTCCTTCTTCTTCTCCTCCTCATCCTCATCCTCCTCCTCCTCGTCATCCTCATCCTCATCCTCATCCTCCTCCTCCCTCTTCTCCTCCTCCTCCCTACATTTCCTCCTCCGCCTCCTCGCCCTGGCTTCGCCTTGCCCTGCGCTGTCCTGCCCAGGCGAAGGTGGTCGAGGTGGCGGCCTCGCCGCGCAGCTTCCAGGCGGAGGGCCTGCGCCCCGCGGACGGCGCCATCGCCGTCGTCCGCGCACGGAGCCGGGTCCGCGGCGGCGGGTCGGCCGGCCACCCCGAGGGCCGCGGGCCCCAGGCGAGGCGGTGGCGAGGAGTCTCGGGCCGGACGAAAGGGGGGGATTGGGAAAGGGGGGGGTACGAAATCTGCTGCACGCAGCTGGTTTCGGCCTCACCGAGGGGCCCATTCCTCGATACATAGCCGCCTCTGGCGCCGGGAGGCGCCGGGAAAATCAGCTACGCGTGCTGATTCTCAAACCCCCCCTTTGCTATCCCCCCCTTTCGCCCGACCCGAGAATCTCGGCTTGCCTATAGCCTATGCGGTAGGTTCGTGTCGTGTCGGCCAGCGACCCCGCCAGCGCGTTGTTCAACTTTGAACGCCGCGGGCGACCCAGAGTCGTTCGATGCGGAACGATTTGGACGTTTCGGAAACGGCCGATCGTTCAAGGTTGAACGATCCCCGCGGTGCCAGAAACCAGCGCCAACGTCGGCACGACACGAACCTGACGTGTCTAAGCCTCCTAGATGGGGTCGGAGTGGATGGGGTCGAATGATCGCGATGCATCGGCGATGCGGCTCGATATGGGGCCCAATTTCCTCGACGCCGACGTCGCCGATGCATCGCCGACGCCGCCAGCGCATCGCCGATGCGGCCAGATCCTCGGACCCCATCTACTCCGACCCCATCTAGGAGGCCTCTAGGCCTACTCGACTACAGAATTGATGGTTTGTACACTTGTCATGGCACCCCGCCCCTAACAGCCGAAAAGGTGGGTGACCGTACTGTGACCGAACATGTAACCGAAATTGGAAATCGCTTTAGCGTCGAACCAAATATTTCGGTCACACTTGGGCGCGGCTGGAAAACTTCGGGCGCCAGTTTAGGTAATACAGACTGATCTTTGGGCACAGTTTCAGTCACGACACCTCTCTGATAGAGACGCGGCTACGTGTCAATTATTTGTTCGTCGGGTCTACGAAATGTGCGTGGAATGTTCAGAAGTTTTACGCAGCATTCTGCGTATGTGTATCGCGGGTTCGGCGAGGAGATCAATTTGGGAGTGAATCAATTCTGTAGTCGATCTGATCGATGAATGGTCTAATATCCTGTTGTGGTTTGCACGAAATGTTCTTAGAACATTTCTGGCGGAGACCGCATTGCATTAGTCAATGGGTGTTGTGTTCAAAAAATCAGCTTGTTCTACGAACATGGCGGCATAGACCTGTTGGAATGCAGGGATGGTCGGTCTTTGCTCAACAAGAGCGGCCGACAGATTGGCATCGCTCGGACGTGGGATGTTTTCTCTGCGAGGAGCATCGAAGAGCATCCTGGATCATCGAGCCCCAAAAAAGAGCACGTACGAAACCTACGCATGCATGGGGAATGACCGTCCCAGCGACCCGCCTGATAAACCGACCGGATACACCTCCAATGCTTCGGTTTCAGGAAAACGGCCTTCTAGATTGGACCCCCTGGCCCTCGAAAATGGCTCCCTGCAGAGCGGACCTTGGGGACGACTGGAGGGGGATTCGGAGCACCCCGGAAAGGATTCTCCGGGGCCTAGCTTGAGACGGCCAGAGCGGATGCCAGGAATCATCGCATTCAGGGGCAACGGTAGGGTGGATTAGGCATGGGGGGGGTGCATCGACCCCCAATCGCCTATCGATTGCCGATAGGGGTCTCATAGCCCCACCCAGCCCAGGAACGTGCGGTTTGCTATGCGGACCTACCGCCGATCTATCGGCGATGTATCACGGATTCCAGGCTGATGTTTCCACCCTTGCGCCAGTCCCCCTCTATATCGTTGTCCCTCACGCATGAGCTCGGCTGACCGGAGTAGCAGCCCCCCGTGACGCCTGGAGGCACGCCAGGTTGCCGCCGCGGCGCCGCGGCGGCGAACGCAGCGCGTGCTCTCGAGGTTAAAGGTCGCGCGTGGCCCGAACTGGCCGACAGTCAGAGGATGCGTTGCAAGATTTCCAGGATATCCCAGGTTTAAGTCGGACCTGTCCCTCTACAGGAGGATAATTCAAAACTACCCCAGTGCGACCCGACCTAGAAGTTGGAGCCCCTAGGAAAGCAGCATTAGTTGCTATGCTATGCCATGACATGCCATGCTATGCTGCGTTATGCTATGATATGCTATGCTATGATATGCTAAGCTATGCTATGTCATGCTGTGCTATGCTATGCTATGCTAAGCTGCGCTATGCTATGATATGATGTGCTATGTTATGCTAGCGCATTCTGCGCTGTGCTATGTTGTGTTGTGCTGTGCTGCGCTATACTATGATATGCTATGATATGCTGCGCTATGCTGTGCTACGCTATTCTATGCTGTGCTCTGCTATGCTAAAGCTCGGCGAAGCTAAGATGAAGGTAAGCTAAGCTAAGATACACCTGAGCTAAGATGAAGCTAAGCTAATCTAAGATGAAATAAGCGAAGCTAAGATGAGATAAGCAACGCTAAGCTAAGGTGACGCAACTGGGGGAACCGCGGGGCGGATGCCGGGGGAGCCGCCCGGGGCGGTATCCACTGCCCGGCCTTTTAAGCAAACACAATAAGAACCCTTCTAGGCAGAGCCTAGGTAGGGAAATAGTCAAAAAATAGTATGGGGACGATTTTTGGATCATGTTTGAGTATTTTGAGTTTGCTTTGAGTAGTTTCAAATATTTCGCCCAAAATCCGTCTGTAGGGGGACATGCCCGACCTAATTCTAGGTGTCTTGTTGTTCCATGCGGGCAGCAGGAAAGAGTGCCGCTAGGCACTCCATAACTCTTGGAACGCATCCTCAGCCGAAAGAGCCATGAGTGCCACGGCATCATTTCGCCCTCGACATGGAAGTGTCCGCGCCATCGCCACTCGGAGGCGAGCGAGGGAGGGTAGTGAGAAGCGGCGGGCGTTCTCAGAAGGCCCGGAAGTCCCTCAGCCTTTTGAGAAGTCGTCTAACCCTTCCCCGAAGATACGAAAAAGCCTTTCAGAAGGCCAGATGTCTTTGAGAAGCTCCGCCGCCTTCTGAGAAGGCTCTCCCCTCCACAATTTCACAATATGAATACTACTCTCCTCTCTCCCCTGATGACATCCAGAAGATATCCGGCCCCCCTCCGCGTATTGTTGTTTATACAGGATTCCTGGGAGTTGGGTTTTCGCTTGGTTTTTTTTCCCGGAAAGGGCGTGGGCCCAGGGTTCTCTTTTAGTTGGTAAACCTAATCCCCCGGTGCCAACTTGAGGGAGGCCGGCGAATTTTTTCCCTGATAAATAACGAGGTCGAAGGAGGCCGGCGAATTAAAATTTGAGGATGTCTCGAGCGAAACGCTTGTTTTTGAAATCCCGATCGATAAATCACAGGGTGCGGGCCACTTTTTCGTGTGTTGAGGATGTCTCGAGCGAAACGCTTGCTCCGCAGAGTTTGCCGAGGATGTCTCGAGCGAAACGCTTGTTTTGCAGAGCCGACCGCGACGCGGAAAAGCGCCCCGCGCGAAGGAATTTCGATGATGTCTCGACTAATTCCTTTGTTTTTGTACGATTTCCTGGAATTTTGGCAGGATGTCTCGAGCGAAATGCACGACCCCACCCTAGCACGACCATACCCCAGCACGACCACACCCCAGCACGACCAGACCCCAGCACGACCCCACCCCAGCACGACCCCACCCCAGCACGACCATACCCCAGCACGACCACACCCCAGCACGACCCGACCCCAGCACGACCCTACCCCAGCAAGACCACACCCCAGCACGACCACACCCCAGCACGACCACACCCCAGCACGACCACGCCCCAGCACGACCACGCCCCAGCACGAGCACGCCCCAGCACGACCACCACCCCAGCACGACCACACCCCAGCACGACCACACCCCCAGCACGACCACACCCCAGCACGACCACACCCCAGCACGACCACACCCCAGCACGACCCGATCGATAAATCACAGGGTGCGGAGCACCCCAGCACGACCCACCCCAGCACGACCCCACCCCAGCACGACCCCACCCCAGCACGACCACGCCCCAGCATGACCACACCCCAGCACGACCACACCCCAGCACGACCACTCCCCAGCACGACCCCACCCCAGCACGACCCCACCCTAGCACGACCACACCCCAGCACGACCACACCCCAGCACGACCCCACCCCAGCACGATCACACCCCAGCACGACCCCACCCCAGCAAGACCACACCCCAGCACGACCGCACCCCAGCACGACCTTACCACAGCACGACCACACCCCAGCACGACCACGCCCCAGCACGACCACGCCCCAGCACGACACGCCCCAGCACGAGACCACGCCCACAGCACGACCACGCCCCAGCACGACCACCCCCAGCACGACCACCCCCCAGCACGACACCACCCCAGCACGACCACACCCCAGCACGACCACTCCCCAGCACGACCACACCGCCTTGGTTGAGTGGTTGCCTGTCGTCGTGGAATGTTTCGTGGGGTGTCTCGTGGAATGTTTCGCGGGGTGTCTCGTGAAATGTTTCGTGAGGTGTCTCGTGGAATGTTTCGTGAGGTGTCTCGTGGGCTGTTTCGTGAGGTGTCTCGTGGGATGTTTCGTGAGGTGTTGCCCAGTTGGGTATCATGAAAACGTGTCCATGCTCCACATGTCTATATCCCTTTCCGGGTTCGTGGGTCCATCATGTTCGCAATGTTGCTCCCGCTGAAGCGCTGGCCTCAGTTTCGGGTTTCCGCTCGTTCCGAGTCGACCTTCCTTTTCAGCGTTGGCCTCATTTCCGCGCTTCCGCTCGTTCCAATCGTGCTCCCGCTGCAGCGTTGGCGTTATTTCTGCGCTTCCGCTCGTTCCGACTTCTGGTCGTTCCAAATCGTGTTACCGCTTCCGCGCGGGTTCTTCCCGTCTTTTCAAATAGGCCCGAATGTAAAGAACACCCCCCGAAAACACATCGGAAGTGATTACACATCCAGTGTCGATTCTTTGTTTTCTGGGGCCGCGGAAGGCCGCCCCCCCTTCTTTGGGGCGTCGTCGTCTTGACGAAGTATCAGGTGGGAGCCCGTTTCTGCTTCGAGAAGGCGATGCTGAAAGCAGAGCCAGCGGGTTCTCTTCATCAGCCTGGCCTCGTGAGGAGCTTTCCGGGGAGCCCATGAAGTTAAACATGGAGCCGCGACTTCAGACCGGCCCAGACCTTGCGAAGACGATCAACCGACCCTCCAAGGAACCCAGTGTCATGCCATGACGTACAGCGTGGCGTTGTGTTCTGCGCCACTGTGCGATGCCATGTTTTGCG